AACTGCGGGGAACTCTGCAAAAAACGCATCTTCGCACGGGCAGCCCGTGCGTTGGCCAATTTTATGATATTATTTGGTGTATTTTCAGGGTTATTAAAAAAAAAATGGCTGAAGCAGGAAGTGATGAAAATGTTAGCTTATTGATACGTTGTGCTTTGCAATCGTTCGATGATTTGCCAATAAGTTGTCCATCTACGTGGACTGTTCAACAGCTTAAAGAAAAGCTTGCTGCAGTATGCCCCTCAAAACCGGTTTGTTGCTTTGAGTTTGATTTTTTTTTAGCACTGTAAATATTGGTGGGTTTTTTTCCCTCATATTTTTTTGCCAAGGCAGGCAGCACTGCTTTCGAGTTCAAGGACAAAGATTCAATTGTGCCTGTTGTAACAATTATCTCTCTACGATGAACAGTTCATTCGTTTCGATGATAAATTGGTACTGGCATATGCCAAGGAATAGAAGGGCCACAGAAGGCCAAACCAGTATTGAATGGCCCAAATTTGGTCGCCGAAGAGAGTGAAATTATCAAGTGGTTTTTTGCGATCGTTGCTTTGCTACATTATCTTTTTGTCGACTTTCTCTTAGTTTTGGTACTTGCTTGACTTTTCGTTTGTCTTATTTTTTGGTTTCCCTTTGAAATGAGGAGGAAGAGGAGGTAAATCGTTTTTTTCGGTACCCAAACCATCCATTAACTTTATTCATTAACCAGGGCATGTGCCTGCCTTTTTATTCAAATCTTGCTTTTTCAGGAAATAAAGAGACAGCGTTTGATATATGCAGGACATTGTTTGCACGATGAGCATACTCTGAGATCCGTGTTCGAAAATCGTCCAATTGATGATGGTAGTATCCATGTGATACATCTTGTCTGTCCACCCAAAAATCTCAATGCCTTTAACGAACTTCGAAAACGTAATGTGGCCCGCACTCAGTGAGTTTTTTTTTTCCACTTTAATATCAATATTACTGAGAGCAGTCGACGTGCTGATCCGTTGTTAGTGATAATAGAAAGTTATAGTAGAAAAGAATGGAAGAAAGAGAAAAAAAGAATAAAAATTAGCAAATTTATATTATTATAATGATAGGAAGTGTTTCGGTCCATTAAGTCGTATACATTTCTTACCACTACCACAGTGATGTTACACGCCGGGGCAACTTTGATGGGCCCTTCTTTACTGAGTTGCATGTCACCAGTTAATTCTCGTCCTATATTCGATTTTTGTGCCCATCTGCTTCCGAGGTCATCCCGAATGGTCGTTTACTTTTACCCACTGATATGCGATGTCCGTCGATTGTCACCAAAGCAAGCAACATATTTTACGTATCAAGTTTTAATTTCGTACGTGGCTACAGTGAGATAGAGCAGATTTAACAAAGAATGGTAATTGGTCATATGGTCACGGGGGAGCAGGCCAAGCAACCTTCAGTTCACTGCTTTCTCGCACTTAGCCCTCACTTGCTGTTCTGCTTTCGTCAGTGACCACGGGCAACTATTAGAACTCGGCTCGTGAGGCAACTTATAACAATCGGTGATAGGCGGTAGAAGGCTGAAGATGGCGGAAAGGAGGGAGGATGAGGGCCTGGTTTAGGTCTTGAGATCGTAACGGAAGTAGAAAGGGGTCGGGTTACTGACCGCAGGGAAGCTGAAGCCCACATGAAGGTAGGAATTGGAAACAGTAGCGGGATTCATGAAGAAAGAAGGGTGCCCAGACGCGTTTTTCGTGCCCGGCTTGAGATTAAAATTGAAGAGAAGCTAGTAGTCTTGAAAGTAACACCTAGAACGTTACCTAGATAATCCGGTGCCACCGCTTTCGCAATTCGAGCTCGAATCGAAGAACAAATGCGTATTGCATCACCAAGCCAAACCGAGTTTTAGCAGTTGCCGTGACCAAATTTTTTTCCTTTTTTCCCTTGACTATTTACTGATTGCGATGCTTTTTTTGTACAGGACGAGTGCGGTGCCAGGAGCTCATTCCGGTGCGCATCTACAAACCCAGCAGCCCGGTTTCAGCAGCGTATTTCCCTCATTTTATGCAAACTCTTTATGGACTAATAATATTGCAACACAGAGAGGTTTTATTGCGCCACAGCCAATGCCTGCTTCGCCAAGTGCTCAATTTCAGAGCGCATATCAGGCGTATATGGCTTCATATTGTAATTAGTAAGTTTTTTTTTTTTTCATGTAAATTTTTAATACTGACAACTGTGACGAAATTTTTAATAAATGTACTGACGAAATAACAAAAAAACATTAGTTTGTTGAATTGCATGCAGTTGCTTTGATTAGTGCGTACTGCATCGCCTGATGTTGATCCGTTTTATCTCCAGAAGGGATTATTATTAGTTCAAGGCTTTCAGACTGTCCCATTGAATACTACTACCTGATCTCGAACACTGCTGCTTTTTCCATCTCTCTCTATGTCCTCCGTAATCTTTTTATGGTGTATGTATGGGGCAACAGTTAAGCAGAAAAGAGCCTCTCCATGTCTAACGTCTGAATGCCTTTCACAACCGATCTATTCATACCAGTACTAGTGATTCATCGATTACCCATTCTTTCCAGTGTCAGTGTCTCATACAATAGACTATCTTTTTGTTGCCGGCGCAGCCCAGCACCCCCCGCATTGGTTCCTTCGGTCCATCGACACGTTCATACGCGGTACCAGATGCACTACGAATGAATCTCAGTGATGAACTAATAGCCCATTTTAAATATCAGTAAAGCTCAGTGAATAGGCTAAAGAAAATTTCTTGTTTTTTGCAGTATGTATCAGATGATGGCCGCAGTAGGGAACAATCCAAATGCTGTGCAATTTTCGCCTCAATTTCTTCTGAACAATCAGCAAATGCTAAGTGCAAATTTACCATTGCAACCTCAACAAGCCAATCGACCGCAGCAGGTATGTGTATTTTTTCTTGCACTGATAATTACAGTGCAGTATTATTAATTTCTGAGCAATACTGATATTTATATTTCAAGTACTGGCACCATTTGCAATTCACAGTTCGTCCATCCACTCAGCGGGTGACTTCTCCAGTAACTTTGATCACTACTGCATTCCCTGTTAATTAGCCTGCTGGCGATCCTAACGTTCGTTTCTTGTCTAAAGTGGAGTACATTAGTCCAGCCCTAGTCCCGATATTGCTCTTTTGAGTCCTCTTAACCATCTTCCCCAGGAAATCGATAGAACAGCATGCAACGGCTTTGGTTTGTGTGAAAAACGTGGCGGAAAATTTTGAAGAAATTGCCGGTTTTAGCCTCAAACGAAAAAGAACAGAAGCAGGTATTCGTGTGGGACCTCGTTTATTTTGTGAAATTGTATTTTCCAATTTTCTAGGCATTTGCTGCTGAACCAAATCTGGCTGCTCCTGCTGCTGCTCCAGCTGCAGGTGGCATTGTTCAGGAAGCGGTTGCCGGTGATGTTGATGGCCAACAGAGAGATTTTTTGGATGTTGTTTATAAGGTATTATTTTGCACATGTCTAGGGGAACACTGCCTACTTATTTTCATTGTGGTTGAGGAAGAAAGTGAATGCGGAGAGAATTTCGAAAATTTATCACGTTGGTATTTCGCATAGCTGCATTTTCGTTGTTTTGTTAAGAATGGACCAGAAAATACTCAATTCAGGACTAGTTTTTTTTTCAAAGGAATATCAAAACCACCTACATTAGCATGGAGGTTCCAAATTAGTGGTGTTTGACGCACCTAC